TATATGTCCATTTGATTTTATATGCGTGCGTGTATGTTTAAATACACACATATAAATGAATATGTATATCCGTTTTATTTATATAGTATATATGTGCGCCTGTTTGTGTATATTTGTCTTACGCTGTAGAGGCTTTGATATGTCGTATGGTTCATAAGTATATCCACGCGCATAACGTACATTCATCCGTCGTATAATCGTTCGATACCTGCAAATATGTATACGATCACCACTTAGTTTTACAATTACCAGAAATCATCACGGCGCAACTCAACACTTCACTTTCACACACACAGGTCACACTCACGCGATTCCTCAGGGCGCGAAATAATAATCTGGAACGTGCATCTGATATGCGGGCCGAAGATTTGTTAATGCGGTCGAAGTTCAGAATACTGAGAGATCAGGAGTTCGTACGCATATTTCGGCTAGGATTGGCCTACATGCACTTTTTTCTAAGGACCAAACGCCCGCGGCTGTGATACTTGTGAGTTTGACATAAAATAATGTGATTGTTATTGGTTCGGGGTTGTCGGGGACAGTATTCTACATTAACTTCAGAGTGGAACCTTTCATATGTAGCCAAATGCATAGAGTGTTCGCCTGATTTGTCTCGATCTCTGACGTTGAATTCGAGTCTAGTTTACTCGGAGTATGCGGATCGCTAGTGTACCTTGAATAATCTATTCAGGACGGGGTTACTGATATTGTGAGCTAAACCCAAACTCGCTCGTTTTCTATAACAGGTCAAAAATTTAGATGTGGCTGTATTGACGGCGGAAGGTATGTTAAAACTTCGCTGCATTGCAGGAAAGTAATATGTGTGGGCTAGTATTGTAGTGAAGGTTCTTAGTCAGACAAACAGTGGGGTTCTTCATTGAAGCGTATTATGAGGGCGATGACCATGTGTCCAATACCTTAAGTATATGCTGCATGGTGAGGAGTCTTGAGGGACGTACCTCAGCCAGCTTCAAATCAGTGGTGCCACAACTACGATCATGGTCCGAGCACATTTTTATCGGCAACACTGTGTATACGTTGCCCAAGGCTTGTGTCTTGAAGCCCTATGTCGTAGTGCCGTCGTCACTTTCGCTATTCTGTGCTATTTTGCGAGCTATTGTGCGTTTGAGAAGAACATTTCCGCCGCCAATTACCAATGTAGTCAAGGGCAACAAGTGTGACAGGCAGTTTGACAACCCTGCATTAACTTTACTGTACACCCGTAGATTCCACTTTTAATAAAATGGTGTTATAGACAACCTCCTATACTTTGCCTTAGTAGTTAGATATGCCCATTGTTTTATTCACGGTATTGCCGCAAATTGTACTGGATAATTCAAAACAAACCCCTATCGATAGCCTGTACATGTTCTTGCCTATACCCATTTCGAAGCTTCCTCAGATAATATTAACACTTCGTTCGATTTTTCCATCAAAGTGACACTGGTTGGAATACATGCAGATGTGCAGAAACTAGTGATCTACGTCACTGATCAAGTAAGTGGTTTAGTCTTGTGAATGACGCAAATAATCACATAGATGTTCAAATCCGCGACCAAGACACAATTGACTTCGGTCAGATGTTTATCCTGATATAGCAACGTGTCATTGAACAGTCTTAGTCAATCTTATGCATTCGCACTAGCCGCGTTTGCGTCCCGGCTGGAACATGTCGTTGCTAAATATATAAATAAATAAATATGGAGCCACGGTGTTGGTATGAAATTCACTCGTACGTTCCCAGATGTATGTATAACTTTGAGTTCACTTCAGCCACGAGCACACGCAAAATACATCGATAATTGCTTAATATTCAGCATAACTATCTCGTGCACTTCACCACTCAATCCAGATAAAAAAGCTGTGCCCGAATTCAGAGAGTGCCACTATCATCGTGGATCTGAAAGGCTTCTCCCTCAAAAAGAATATGAACATATCTTTGTACTTGGAAGCGATCAACCTCGTCAATAAGTGTCTCCCCGAAGTGCTGGAAAAAGTACGCTTAGTCAAAGCATAATACTTATTCAAGGGCGTATGGAGCGTGATTAAAAAAGCCTTGGACGAGCACAGTCTCCAAAATTGACTTCTACGGTATGCTGATGTGTTCTGAATTAACTCAATTGGTCAGATACTTTGTACGTATGTTCCTGCTTTTTTTTTCAACGGAAGTTGCTTCGTGAGATGAGAAGGAACAAAGCATGCTCATGTGCGGTTCATATGACGATGTGATGGGAGCATTGACCGATCTTGTTCAAACATTGATTATACCAAATGCATGCGAGTTTCTGGATTGACTTGAAATGTTTTGTTCTCAGCAATATGCGACGTCGCGATCCAGAAAGTTTAATTAGTTTTTGCAACTCGAGATCGTATCCAAATATCACAAACGCACGCATACACGAGATAGCTGACACGTATGCTGGCGCCAAAAACTTACATGTTTCTAATAGATGAGTCCGAGTTCCGGCATTTCCTGGATTTCATTGAGCCCGAGAATTTGCCTATCCAATATGGCGGCACGAGTATGTTTGATTTCAACAAGGACTTCTATGGTAGGTTTCGTGTCGGCTTTATGCCTCTCGGTATAGAAGTGGATCTGACGCGAGTGTCATTGGAGGACGCCATGGCTGGAATTAACAAATTGGATGATACATATATGGCATCTGGCTGACTGATACGGTCCTGTAGTCGCGCTACTTCAGCTAATTTGCATTTGAAATGTGGCGAATAAATATTTGTTTCTGATTGGTTTGGTATCGTACTTGGCTCAAGGTCGCCCAGAGCACGCTAAATACCGTCTTTAGATGAGGCGGCGCGTCATACAATAAATCACGGTTGGGACGCCGTGAGGACTGAAAGCGTATAAAATAC